CATGGGTGATCAAGAATTGATTCATTTTTATCATAAGCGCCTTCGAGGTAGCGAGGGAGGGGGGGAGGGGGGGGAGGGTTTATAGTTCACCAAGCTACGTGCCTACCAAAGATCATTTGTGTAGTTAATTGGCAGAAGCAAACCTCTCGTGGTCGATTTTTAATCCCGGATAAGAAGATAGAAGTTCAAACAGAATAATCCAACATTCTATTAATTATCATAATAAGTTCGTTAACCGCAATCCTGATCATTATTTGGCACGAGATTGAATATTCTGACGAAACGAGTTTAAGCTGCGCGCGCAATAGTTTCCAAGACACACTGTAACGCGGGGCTGTGCGGGAGTGCTAAATGTGCAGTCTGACTTAATTTCCTTCGGCTTATATATTATCGAGTGTTTCTTTCCTTTGAAAAATATTGTTTCAGGGTTTAAATATATCTACAGGTACGTTTTGAAATCCAAGCTGTATATTTGCTTTGGTTTGTTTGATTATAATTCACAAAAAACGATAAAATTCAAAAATTGAAATTTTGCTGACGCAAAATTAAGGAACGCAATTTAACACCTAACGTGATCGCTAAAGTCTAACAAAACCGCCCTTTAGAATGCTTTTTCCCGCCTGTAGATTTTATTTCAAGTAATTAACCTCGGATTGACAAACAATGGCGTGGGAAAAACCACTTTGAAATACACCTATAAAGAACTAGATATAATGAGAGGAAATGTCCAGTCCCCCAATTACACTTCCTTTGCAGCCCTCGTTCCAAGTGTTTCAGACAATTTACATAAATTCACCCACAATTGTGAAGTCAAAAAAGGTTATGAAATCTTGTTCTTTTTTATGAGATTTATCGGAAGATCCGTTTCGAGAACATGGAGTTATTTTAGTTTCTAGAAAAGCTCATGGAGATTTTGAAGACATTGATTATCTTTTTCTGTTGAAAGATCTCTAACGCGAACGTTGGAAGAACAGTAAAACGGTTAAGGTTAACTTCTATGTATTTTATGGGGTTTAGTGACATCACGGCTGAGATGTCATTCATCGTCTTAGTCATCTAAAGAGGATCAAGATTTGTCCTTGTAATTTTTTTTCTTCTGTTTAATTAGATCAAGCAGATTAAATGACTGTTTCCGGGCGGAACTTTTAACAGGGCTGAAGTGTTAACAAGTAATTGCTTTAGACCTTCCAATACGTCGGCGAAATTCTTGAGGTACCAAGAGAGATTGAACAAATATCTCTTTTTCCCACAAATAAATAAGCGTGGGCGGTCAGCAAGCATGGACAAATTCTGGGCCGAAAGGTATAAAATCAAAACCATCGAATCGGTGCAGCAGTGAGTTGTCAACGTGGTGAAGGAAGGATGACAAATCTAGCGAAAAGCTCCGGTCTCTGCCTGATTGATGTTCTTTTGCTGAGTTTTCTGTCATCTTTGATGATTCAAGGTATGTTTAATGGTCACGACAGCTAACATTTAGATTCCTGATTCCGGATTCCTGATTCCTCTTGTAAACGTCTTTTTGTTTTGTTTCGTTTTTTGTTTATTTGTTTCTTTGCTTGACCGTTGCACATCGTTAAGACATTAAAATAATGAACGCAGGCATAATTTTATATCTGTTCCCAGGGGCACTCACCTTACATCACTTAATAAGAACTTGTAATCCAGACACGTGATGAAAGCCTTCGATGAGATCATGATATCTCAAAAATAAATTTTAATATTTCAAATACAAAAATAGTGTCATAAAAAAGGGGGTTTATCCTTACTATATTTCATGACTGTTAGTTAATTTTTTCTCCCGGTTATACAGCTTACCTAAGCTTCATTCGGAAAAGAAAATTTTTTTAAATTCATGTACCGGGCAAAGCCATGACTGAGTCACCCAGCACAGACGTGCCTTCGCTTCATCCAATTTATTTAAAGATTTAATTTGATTTTAGAAAGATACAATGTCTGACTTTAAGTAAATAAGTTGAAGCTACAGAGGTCCTTGTAACAAGAAATTGAACATGAGAAACTTTGTACTTTGTATTATTCAGAACTGAAGATTCCAGAAGAACTGTCGAAACATGTTTTTAAAAAGTGTCTTTCATTTTCTTAAATTCGTTACATCTCTGCTACTATTCGGGCCTTTCAGCTTTTGAAAATGAACCACATGTTAATTTTGTCTCGTCTGCAGTTTTTTAGATGCAACAACGTTCTTCAGAAATAAAAGAACGAACAGTTTTTTCGGACAGACTGTTAAGAGATTGTACAGAGCAGAAATTGCGGTACATTTAGTTAAACTCGGTATGATAAACATTCTCGTTATAAAAACTACCCTAGAAATGTTCACGCTCGTCGTATTACGGCTCAGCTTCTAAGCCATCTGTAAGATGCAATGCATAGGACCAAGATATCAACCGCTGACATACCTCATTGAAAGGAAGGTCACAAAAGCATTTTTGATCAACAGCGAAAATAACCAGACTTACCATGAATGAACCCACTTAAGCCGAACGTTTTTGGTCTTTGAGTATCTTTAAAGAGAATGGAATAAACTGGTGGTGTTCCGATACCTCTACATGCTACCAAGATACTTAATGACATCCCATGCAGGATCGGTTTCACATGCATCCTGCCTTCGTTTAGGAATAGCAACGATAAAACGTTTTCTTTTATGAAACAGGTAACAAAAGTTCTCTCACCATGTTAGAAAAAAGGATAAGATAGTAAAAAAGAGTATATCATGACTGAGTTGTAGCAATGCTGAGGAACAAACAAACGTGGGGTAAAAAATTGTTTGACAATAAGTACGTGACTTGCTCTCCAGGGCTGTCCTTCGTCATCCAACGTCGGTGGAAGGAAAAATTAATACCTCTCTCTTTAATTTGTTGTCGCCTTAAAGTCTGAGGCAATTATACACAGAGATATCTTTCAATTAACTGACAAATACAACTTGAACTACGGGTATGATGAATCCTCTTTTCCAGTTCCAGCAAGCTTTACAAGAAATCGCCGTTGTTTTACGATGATAACGGGAAAAGCATGGCGGGTATCCTTAAACGCCTGCCTGCTCTCTTTAAGAGTAACAAAGAATTGCTCCGAGGAATTTGTCTCTATTTTCTGTGTCCCACGTGTATGGCAATACCATATATAACAACGCCACTTTAATTCAGCCACGAATTACATAAAAATTAAAAACAATACTATGTGTATAAATGAATGTAAACTTTTTTTCGTTTTGCTAACACATTGCTTAAAGCAGATGAAACAGAAATACCGTGTATAATAACAGACATATTTAGAGACATGTGAAAGCGAGCAGATTCCAGGTGCAAGGAAGACAGGACTTAAAGCGAACCTGCCAGCAAGGTCTTCAGAAAGATCATCCATTAAAGACTGACATAAGCATTGGATGTACTGGAAGTCCAAAAGCATTAGCCAGAGAACAAAGTTGCTTCTCTTCAAGAACCGGCAATAACTGAACATTCTCTTGTATGGCGCAGAATCCTGGAATATGACGAAGACCATATCAGCCACACATTACGACTTCAACACGGACATAGTGTGTAATTCATTAAGAATTCCGGTTCTAATTAACACATGCGCAATGAGGCGCTAGAATTACCCAGGGACACTGGACACCACTAAGTATCCTAGCGACCGATTGCAGATTCATCAAAACAAATTGACCGGCTTAATCGATCGCAAACCTGTTTTGATCGCATGAGCTAAACGTACGGTTGACTAAAAACGTGATGGCACTTCCACAAACTGTGGGCTTCAAAGCTGAAGCAGTCGATGAAGAAGGAGTTTGGTGTACGTGCACTGTTGAAGAAGTAGACGATGATTACGTAATCGTTCCTTTGACGGCTGGAATGCTGAGTGGAATCGCCGCGTTTGTGACCCACGAGAGATCAGGGATCGAACATTGCCTGATCGGAAAAGAAAGCGAAGAAACCTTTCCCTTCAGTGAACAATGTCTTCGCTTTAAGGAGACCGAATTTTACTTTTAAATATCAAGCGACTTCTTGCTGAGCAAGAAGTCTCCTAGAACAGATGCCTGAGCAGAAGAATCTCCGACGATGAGCTGCGCAGAAGAACGGGTACAAATCCCATCACCCAGCAAGTTCGGAGAAGAAGATAGAGATCGATCGGCACCGTGATCCGAATGCTACCATCAGTTCTGCTCAGAGTCGCCCTCCGACGACCGACGAACGAAAGGCAGTCCCAAGGAAACATGGAGAGAGCCGTAGAAAGGGAAATGAGCGACAGAGGCAGGACATGGGGATAGCTTGACCGTCTGACAACCGACAGAATTCGATGGTGTTCTCAGGCTTTGGCTTAATGCGTAAAGACGTTCGCAGAACACTGACTTCTAACTAATACAATACATAATAGAACACGTACCATCATGGCAGTCGGGACCTGTCTTTATGTCTTCTCCATTTCCATAACGTTTTTCGCTCCCTTCATTTTTCTCTGTTGAGCGCACCGGATAGTACTAGGAAGAAAGTTATTCCCAGATAGTTAGAACATTTGTTCATGAATTCGAGTTAAATTTGAACAAATTCCACCTTGATTTTCCATCTACATCGGCGTGATCCAGCCGCCATTTTGTTCCCTTACCTGACTTACCTACTCTACGATTCACACAGCCTGCCTTAACCTAGTGGAAGTCAATTTTGTGTGTAGTGGTGATATTCATCCTCAGCCGGGAAAGAAAAAAAAGTCGGAATTGTACTGTGCCCCTCTATTCATTTCATTACTGCGTTTAAAAATATACCATCTTTCTCATGTTCTACTTACTAACACGAGAATTCCGACATTGCTGATCGTATGAATATTCAGGATGCATGATAAATAGTTACCAAAGAGTTTTTGTGGCTCAGTGGAAGCGCATCGGGTAAACCGTGCATCGGAGCGCGGATTACGAAAGCCTAGGCATTAAGACTTGGCAGTTTATCTTTGCCTAACGCCATTATTTTCTCTTCCAAATTCTTGTTTCCGAAAATACAGATGCGTCATCCGCACCAAGCACAAAGTGCGAAATAAAGTCTTCCTGCCCCCTGTCAGCGGGCTGCCAATTCACCAATCAGATGATAGTAGACCCAGGCTCCACTATTCCAACCAACTGCTCCATCTTCGCAGGAGGAAAGGGCAAAGTCGTGACCTGGAACCAAGCGAAACAGCGAGTTGGTACAAGTAATGGCGGCGTATCAGATCTGGTTTTGAAAAAAGTGAGTTCGTCGGCGAGTGGAAGTTATTCATGTGAATGCACCTCTGTCAATTTTACACGTAAGTATACCTCTCTATTAACGTTTGTTTTTCAACCTTTAAAGGAACACTGGCACATTGCGTCAAATGAATTTCCTTGTTACTTCAATATTCGGCATAGGAGTCGAGGTGGCTTAAGGGTTTTTGCGCTTGACGTCGAATCGAAAGTCTGGATTGGAGACCTGAGCCCAGTTGTATAAAGGGAAGATAACGCTATCCAACGGATAATTCGTTATCCTGCGAATAAGTGATAGCAAACGTACAGCGTTATCCACCGGATAGAGATTCATTTAGTGGATAGTGTTATCCGACCTTTAAACAAACGAGTCCAGGCCAAGTCATTGTGCTGAGTTCTTGGGCAAAAAACTTGAATATTACAGTGCTTCCCTTGTAACAGGTGTTTAAATGAGTATTGGTGAACTGTCATTCAGTGAGGAGTAGTAATACTTCTAGTCGCTTAAAGAAATGAATAAGATCCGGCTGGATGGCTCACTTGCCCCGTGTACAGACTTTTCCTAACTTAACTTTCATCAAGAGATAACTACTCAGTAACTTTATACATCTTATTTTATCCAGGCGATCTTCAAGTCATTATGGGTAGTAGTACTCCGAATATCATTAAAAAACACAAAACGATTGACCTAAAATGCTACTTCTCTGGATGGCCCCTTCCTTCCACCGTAGAATGGTACAAAGAGCAATGGCTGGTCAGTAACGTGACTTATAAACTGATCACAAATGGAACCAAAGGAATGTACCAGGAGCAAAAACAAACGCGGTGGAATGGTATAGAAACGCTTCATAGCATTCTCCATCTACCATCAGGAACCGAAGACCAAGAAGGATTCTACACCTGTAAGGCAAAGAGTAATATTACAGGCTGGTCTAGTAGTGCATCATATACCATACAGATGATCTACGAATGTAAGTAATTTTCCGACTGCGATAAGAATAGCCTCTCTTCTTTTAAAGCTGCTCAATAGACACTGAAAGTTCCCTTTAAAATTTTTCCTGAAACCCAGCCAAAATTATTTCCGTATATGACTAACCAAGAAGTATTTATTTTTATTTAGGTCCATTGCCACAATCTCCGACTGTTTCTTCCTCACAAATCTCGGCAAGCAAATTCTCGAATACCAGCCTAACATGTTTAGTTGATACCGATGAGAGTGGCTGCCCAGAGGAGCTTTACTGGTTTAAAAACAACGACCAAACATCCTTGGCGAGCGGTGGAAAGTACAACATAGCATTGAAAAACACTCACACCAAATGCCAACAGGAATTCATTCTGACAATTTTTAACGCAACCAAGAATGATGATGAAGGAAGGTACAGTTGCCACTGGATGTGCGAGTATGAAGACACGAAGAAAGCTTTCATTGACCTCAAAGTATCTGCTTGATTGGCAACAGGTGAGAATGTTTTTAAACGGAATCATTCTTCCCTAGACTGAATCACTTCATGGCATTGTGATAGAAATGCAATAATGCGGTCGCTTAGACGTTTCAACTAAACGTTATTTCCCGGTAAAATAAGTTAATGCAGAGGAGATGCTGAAATTTTTAAGTTAGATTAACAACGTGAATAATGAACAACGTGAACAGAAACAAACCGTTGGTCAATTCGGTCTGGCTAATTCTTTAGCTTGACAGTGGATCTCCACTCTGATAAAACAATGTCGTTTTTTGTTATCGTTCCTGGTAGTGGAACAGTGCTTCGAGCGTTTTAAGGATTCTTGCCATAAATGATCGCAGTATAGATTGCGAACCACTCCATTGATGACACGGAAATGAAAGCCAACAAAACTATCGAGTCCACGTGGAAAAAGGCATTTTAATTCAGAGCCACCCTCTAATTCTAAACCTAAATCATGAATAAATCAACGCTTCTTTTTATCGCAAATAGGGACACATGTCACGATTACAATTCTTTGGTTATTTACTTTTCAGTGGTTCCGATGTTTTAATGTGAATATTTTAGTAAGTTTTCTGCTTTGAGGTCTATATCTTAGTAAGTTTAAAGATTAACATCCAAATCAAACTTATGAAAAAGAATTTAACCCGGTAACTTAAATGAATGCTCCCTTAACTTTAAAGGGAATTTTAGAGGAGCAGAGAAAATCAAAGTATTGTCTTAAGTCATAGTTTTTTTCTTTTAATCCTTGATTTTCCTATTGCTTGCAGGAACCAAGTTCTGGCTATTTGTCATGTCCAAGTCCACACATTTCTTTACAAAGGGACTTATAGCAACTGCAGCCTCAAAATTGAAAACGTTACATAGAGTAGTTCAGTTATATTGCCGTGATTTTTTATGAGGATAACTTCCCTATCAATATATGATGTATGATTAGGCAATTTGTTGTTGCTTGTTTGAAGCTATCTGAGTTTCCACTTCCCATTATAGCATTTTAGTGTTTGAGCGATGTCATACCGTTGTTTAGAGTTAAGTGTACGAACACGGCTTTGAAACAAAATGAAAAAAATTTGCAGACAGCATTTCAAAATACCTGTAAAACTGAGTCTTCGAAAGCGATAAAGATGCTAAAAATGAAATATTACCAATACTTTACAATAAAGTACTTGCTTGATTCACCTTTTACGATGACCCTTGTCGACTCTACACTGTTCATTTATTCTGTATCTATTTTACGGACACAATGTATAGCTCAGTAAACACCGAAAAAAAACAGCAGAAACATAACTAATTCATATTATTGAATTTTCAACTTTGCGGAAATTGCATTTTTATTAATCGGATTACTTCCCTACGCTGCGGTTATCAGCTCACGTACCAAGTCACCAAAAATAGAAAATGATTCACTCAAGTGTTGCGACTGAAGCTGACTTTACTTTTGGCCGCGAGCAAACACTTCTCCCGTGCACTGGAAATAAAGTAAAACAAACTTCAGTCAATGTTATCTTGATAACAGAAGTAGAAGCCACATGAAAAAAAAAAAAAAAAAAAAAAGCCAGATGAAATTGTTTTGGGAAGAGCTTTGGAACGAATTAAGAAGTTAATGTTGGAAGCAAGTGGCAAGAACTTGACCACAGACCTGGATATCGTTTCTCGGCTGCAAGAGTCATTTCTTGAAATAGTAAAGGCACATCCCGGTGAAGGAAATAACTTTACTGAGAATCTGTTGCGCCATTTGATGATCGAAACTGGCTTCCTTCTTTAATGGCGAGGCTAAGAAAATTAAGCAGTCAGAAGTTCCCATCTTCGTCATCCTTTTGTTTACTACTTACTGTGGTTGTTTAACAGAAATAGAAAAAAAAAAGGCTCAGGTGTCGTTGGCCAATGTGCGTTCTTGGCTCCTCGTGAAAAGAAGTGTAAATTTAATTTCATTGGCAAATCCATGCCATCAATTAAATTTTCCTTCCATTAAGTAATGCGTCTAACTAACTACTTACAGATCGAAGAAGCCCACACAAAAAGTTTCGTGGTGTAGGAGAGTTATGTGCTGTTGTTGGAGATTAGGAACAGAGACCTTACGATATGACAACGGTAACGGGGCCGTCGTTTGATGTCGGCGTTTCCTCCAAAATTTTTACATTACATTATTGATGAGGTCAAGGTAGAGGTAACCCTTACCGAGACCTTGATTATTCTGGATATCACAGAAACTAAATCTAAAAATTGTTTTATTATACATTGAAAGAAAAAAAATGGTTACGACAGTAAGTGGAACTGATAATTTAATTCTAAACTAGTAAAAATATACTAATCAGCAGCACATAATCCGATTTACAAAAAGTCTAAGCATGAAAAAAATTGAACAAAAGCTGGTTAAGGAGGTAAATAGCAATAAATAAGTTTAACTGAAGAAACATTACAACTGTAGAGAGCGAACTTCAACTAATTTTTCAATGTCTTGCTCGCTCAAAGAAGCAAACGGTCATGTATTTGCTTCCTCACTGACGGCAAGCATCACAAAGCGCGCGAACTTGACATGTTACCCTTAGAAATCATGCACCGCGGTCCTACGTGACACGATTAGCCATGACCTTGAGTGACCTTGATATGACTATTGTATAATCTGCAGTTAGATGACATCCCAGGCTCTAATTTAGAAAATTTACTCTTGGCTTTCGGCCAATCAGAAAAGAGATAATGAGTTAAATATATAATAATCCAGCTAACCAGCGCCTGCGTGACAAGAATCCTGTCACGCGGTAATATCATTGGGGAGTTACTACATCACGGGTGACGAGCGGGGGATGAAGAAATGACCGAAAGATATAATATTATTTGCCATCAACATTTTTGAAAAATTGCTTAACATTTTATTTAGCGAAGTATACTGTTGATATTTCGGCTTTACAACACTATTGTTTTCCGCAACTACAATTGATATGACTCACTATATAACATCGTCCTAAACCAGATGAGCCCACGACATATCAGCGGCATCTTGTATGAGTATCCGCAGTTTACAATGTGACTTCCGCTTTTTCTTGTTGACGCGTACTCACAGTGTACTCGAGTGTTAGGAAGTTCGCGTAGTGCGTCTGAGCCAGTTTCTGCCAGATTTGAACAGAAAAACAGGTCCTTTGTTGGACTGTAATGATACTTTGATGGCGCTGTTAACGAAATGTTTGGCCGGTTCGTAAGTTGTCAACCTGGTTTCGGTCGATCTGATTGATTGGCAACACCTCTTGAAAATTCAACACACCATCGACCTAAGCCTCATAGCTGCCAAGTGAGCAGAAGAACAATGACATCAAAATACTCGAGAAAGATAAGTATTAATTTTAATTGCATTTGTGTTAAACTTATATGTACAGAAATTTCTGAAGAGGTACTTAATTAGAAGTTTATCACATGATAAGCCTTCAAACTTGTATTAAATAAATTGATGTACATATTTCACAATTTTAAGATGATTGTGTGATGACAATACACCGACGGTCAACATTCGAATATTCAGCTTGAGCTTCCTCCTAAATGTTAAGTATTTCAATTTGAACTTGTAGAATATAACCTATGGATTAAATGTGGGTCTATAAGTATCATCCATGAAATTCTTACAGGCAATTTTCATCATGATATTAAAGCACCACAAACTCAAGAACAAGGAAAAATAAGTTACGCAGAAAACTGAGTTAGGCAGAAAACTGACGGAGAAATTCATAGTTTTCATAATTTTGAATTCATTCATAATTTTGAATTACAAATCATTCAGACCATAGCCACATATAGACTTTTAGATTGTCACTGCTTTTCTTTTGGTGATTGCATGATATGGTACCCGTCTTGACGTTCTTGGGAAAGGAACCATATCATGCAAGTCCAGGCAGTTGATGTAGTGTTTGCGCATTTTGTCTTGGTCATATGACTGCGCTGTGGGGTCTAGGCCATGGCATAAATCTGTAGCAAATGCCAGTGCAAACAAGCCACAGTCATTTGAATTTGTTTGCTTTTGCACTCTTTCATTACAAAAAGTGACTGTAGAACCAGTATACAATAGCATGCAACATGAATGATCAATGGCAACCGCGCTTACATTTTGATATAAGCTGTCATACACCTTGACAGTTCCAGGACTAGTAGCTATTGTGCTCAGGCAAACCCAGTGTGAGCCAGTGTTTATGATCTGTACAAACTCACTAATGGCTGGAGTGACTAATGCACCCACAATAACAGGGTCCCTTAGACCATCTACAAGAGGGAATTTTTGTTTTAGGAGGATCTGACCAGCATGTATCTCAGAATCACACAGCCATGTTATCTTGTTTAAAATGGATCACCTATACTTATTTTAATTACATCAGTGCTGTCTTCTTCCTTCAGTGACTGTGGTTGTTGATAGGACTGACTATCACTTGTAAGGCAGTAAGGCCTGAAAAAGAAATTATCATCTGGGCTTTCTTCTTTCCACTTCTTGATTTTTAAGTCAAGGTTTTCTTGATCAATTTGTGAATGTCTGCACACCACTGTGGCACAATACATGTGGTTCCTGACATCCATGGTTGTTGGGAAGAACCGTCTGTTGGTTAGATCTGGAGGCTGTTGGCCTGTGAAAAGTTCCTTCTTTACATAATGATGCAGGTGCTGTTGCATTTCAGAAACACAATTAACACCACTTCCAACAAGCTCATGAATTTTTTTAACCAGTGTCTCATCAATAGGCTGAAGTAGCCCAGCAGTCTGGTTACACAACAAGAAAGAAAGAATAATTGCTTTATTATTTATTCATTTAAAAAATTACACAACCTCATCCCCAGGTTTTCTTGGTCAACGGTTCAATAACCTGGAGCCGGCTGCTTTTGATGTCATTGGTTCAATATGAGAAAATTTTTTCCAAATTTGGTCAACAGCAGCTGGTTATGATGAAATATGTGAGTGGTTTTAACCTTTCAGAAACAGGGAAATATTTTGAATGAATAATAATGCAAATTATACCAACATTACTATCGGCAGTCCTCTGGTAGGGCTTTTCAGTAATAGTTACAGAATGTTATAATTACAGAGTACTGACCACTGTATTTTTTAAGAAAATCCATTTAAAAAGTCCATGACAGCATTCCATTAAAACAGTGCCAGTGGAAATCCCTCTCTGATAAAATTTTGATATTATAGTCTTGACATTGAGTTTGAGGAATGAGTGCCAGTGTAGCTAAAAGAAGCTCTACATGTAGTACATTTTATTGGTCTTTTGTTGTGATGTATAATCTTTATTCATTCTTTATATATATTCGACATGACAGTGGAAGCAGCACAGTCTACAGTAGACTGATGATCTGTGTGAAGTTAAGTCACCTTCAATTCCCCACCAAACTTCAGTTTCCTGATTCCAAAAAAAATTTAATTGATGGCCAAGTACTTACCCTCCCCATGGGGTGAAATAAGTGATCCGTAGGTTTAGGAAGTAATATGTAAATACGCTCCTCTGTAGCTATTGTTTGCTTCTTTTCTGACTCTAGGGATGTTCTCAGAAATTTTGACATTGTCTCCCTTCTACTCTTTGTGTTCTCTGAAATCTAACGATACAATGTTTTAATTAAAATAATATTTGAAAAATTGGTTTCTAAAATATTCACTCTGTTTCCATTACAGGTAAATTTGGTTCAATTCTGCACAACGAAATGTCCAGGTTGTCTTATCATATGTCCACTTCACCTACATGTAACACAAGGCCCATTAGGATTAAGCACCCTTTATTAGGCTAGTGATCATTCATGTTAATGGTAGTGCCCCCTGAACCCTTATTCAATAATTAAAATAAACTGACCTTATTTTCAGGATACTTGATTATTTTCCTTAGGTGGATCTTTGCTGGACAGTCACATTTCTTTGTATCCTGTACTATAAAGCGCTGTTTGGTGTTGTTATAGCAGTGATCAGCATTCTCCTTCTGAAACCAAATAGATTTTTTGGATTGTTAGATAGAGCAGTCATATGGGAATAGTCAAGTTATCAATAAACTTAGAAGTAATGAAAAGTATCCTTTAAAATAGTACTTGATTCCTACCTTGTAAACTGCAGTCACAGTGGTCCTTTTTTGCGACTTTGCTTATTTTAACAAATAAAATGTGATATGTCCTTTTACTTACAAGTGGTAAAAAAGAAAACATTATTGCCTGCTATTAGCCCTGAGGGAGAGGTGAGTGCTCACCAACTTGCTTAGAAAAATCAGTTGGGACTTACCACCTTGTTAGCTTAAGAGCAAATAGGTGAAGGTAAATCAATAACTATGTAATGCCCTACATATGATATCCTCTTTGGGAGTCCTTAAGTAATAATATCATCTTGTTTACATTCTTATTTAGTTAATTATTATGCATGCTTACATCTTTTTTTAGTCTCTTTTGAGCCTCCTTCCTTTTGAGTGCCTTATTTCTGTCTGGCCCATTTTGGCATTCTAAAACTTTGACCCCCACAATTTGGAATGGGATGCCATCAAAACTTAGTCTGCATCCTGTCATCTCCTGTGAGTCAGCCCATTGTAAACGGTGGTTCTTAGCATTTTTATCTGCATTTTCTTTTATGTGAGAAGAGGAACCAAGCTAAGTTAGCAATACGATACATGTACACAAACACATACGTACATACGTACACATGGGTGCTTAAAATGGAGGGCCTGAAAATCAAGCCTGCCCCACCCAGATGTAGCCCAAGGACTGGTGTAATGGATGGGGATGCTGGCAGCTGTGTGTCAATAGCACTGAGTAGGGTTTTGACACTTTAAGCTTGATCTTAATTAATTAAGCATTTCTTGCCAACTCTTGCTTCAGGCTCACAGTAAATTGACACTTGAAGCTAAGTTGAATTTTAATTACATGTTAATTTTGAAAGTCTAACTGACCAGGGTAAACCGAAGAATAATGATGTGTACAATTATTCTTAAGATATCAATAATTATTGGAAAAAAGTTAAATCCCTTTTTTTATTTTGATTTATCTATATTTCATGTTAATAACACGATCTCACACGTCCCTGGCTTTAAATACCTATAGTGTCTAAATAAAGTTATACTTCACTTTACTTTACTGTCAGTATGGTTTATTTTGTAAACCTTTACATGTGAGCTTACTTACCCAGCCTACTGCAATTTGAAAATCCTCCTGTTTTTTTACAGTGAAGCGTGTCGTCGTAGCTATCTCGTACTGTTTTATGAGTTCGTCAGCGCTGCTTTCATCGTTAACATACCCGGAATAAGGGTCAAACTGTACGGTCCATCTTGAAGCCCAAGGTGTACTGTTATCAGCCATGTTTGTTCTTCTACCAAACATTTAGATTTCCCGCCAATATTTACCCGCGAGCCGCAAAACATAAATGCATGAGTGTTAAATATTAACTGGACCACCCCTTGGCAAATATATTTATTAGTAGCAAATAAGATGTTGAACAAATACCAAGAGATCATGGTCAAATAAAACGTAAAGATAATTTATTACAAACAGAAAAGAACTGTATGTTTGTTCCAATCGAAAGATTTTACAGTGCAAAGTTATGCAAATTATCTTTGACCTGAATCTGCTTTTGGTCGATGATAGCGAGGTCAGAGGATAACATCGACCGAAACTATTAGGCCGGTCATATTTAAGTGTCGATCCTCCTTTTAACGCCTTTATAAGAGGCTAGATTCTTTCTTAAATATGTGATCTAGACAGCAATTAGTTTGTACAAGTTATGGGAAGAATACTTTCGCAATAAAATATTGAAGAATACGACGCTTTATCGTCAGTCACACAGGTCACGGTCTCTTGATTCGCCGGAAACGAGCAGAAAAATAGAAGACTCTCGCTACGATTCCGCTGACGTGTCATGGGCTCATCTGGTTTGGGACGATGATATGTATTGCCCTAGGGGTGTTGTCAATTAATCAGATCGACCGAAACCAGGTCGACAACTTACGAACCAGCCAGACATTTCGTTAACAGCGCCATCGATGAAAATGTCATTACACTCCAACAAAAGACCCGCTTTTCTGTTCAAATCTGCCAGAAACTGGCTCAAACGCACTTCCTATTCCATGAGTACACTGTAAAAGCGGAAGTCACACTGTAAACTGCGGATACTCATACAAGATGCCGCTGATGTGTCGTGGGCTCATCTGGTTTAGGACGATGTTATATAGTGCTTTCCTCACTCGTCGCCCGTGAAATAGTAACTCCCATATCATGCCGCCGGCAAGCGATTAGCGGAGCGTGACCTCTGGGGACGAGACTATAAAACAATCAAACACCATGGATACCATTTGTATGGCGAGTAATCGAGACTAACACGTCTCCAGGTTGAGTCAAAAATTCAAAGGAAAAGCTGCGTGAATGTAAGTAATACTACTTTGTGTACGGCTCAATGCCACCTTTTCCGTACTAGCGCGCTTAACAGTAGATGTAGGTAATCAAAGGTTAAGTTTCTTAAGAAATTGTACAGCAGCGTCGGTGGTACAAGATGATTTGTTCGTGTCAACTGAGTTAAGAATGTGAATTTGCCACCGTAAAGAGTTTCAAAGCTTTCAGAGCGTTAGTCCTTCGCCAGAGCGAACCACTCTAAGGGCTAACGCTCGAAACGTCAACTGTGTAACTCTTTACGGTTGCCAATTTATTTACATTATCAACTTTGTTGATAAAACCAAATTATCTTGTTAAGGTAAACAGATGATTTCGAATGCAATTTGGGATAAAATCAGCACAGTTAAATTCTTTAAGAGCGACCCAAATTGCACAAGCCCTCTGTGCGAGTGTAACTTTTTGTTCTAAAAAATTTAGTAGTGCTGATTTATTCCAAACAACACGAGAAAAATTGATGTGATTACTTTTAAATAACATACATGCAAAAATCTGTCTCTGTTTTCCTCTTAGCCGTGTTTATGATTCATTGGTGCTGCCGAGTAGAGTTGTTGCCGAAATCGACGTCGAATTCCCGCAAGAATTCGCTTCGAGCTTTTAACTTTCTGTCGCGAATAATTGTGTGTTTGCACTCTTTCGCGGTAAGAATTCGCTTGATAGCAGTAATCAGTTCACGAAGACTGTTACGCTCGTAATTAATCTCCATCTTTCAGGTGTACGGACTGTTGCGTAAACGCCGAGAGGATTTTGTTCAGCGCGCTTCATACGTCTTAATACTTTCGACGTAGTCGTTTTTGGAAACCAAAAACTTCCCGACTGTTAGCTGATGCTTCGTGCTTAGCTGGGTGTTTTTTTTTTTTGATTAAAACGTTGTTACTTTCTCCTAACCTGTCCTTCGCGACTCTTCTGTCAATCAATTTAATTTCAGGTTTCTGCACTCAATTTCAACTTTTAGCGCTGTTTGTGATTAATTGCCGTGTTCTCATCAAATGAGAAAGCTGAAATTTTTGCGTGCACATGATCTAACAATTATTCACCGAAGGCGAAGTGAATATTATTGAATAATCCCCGAGACGAACAATCCCCCCGGGATTTTAGAGCCTGGGGTGAACAATTGTCTTTGTATAATTGCTCAGGTGCTTTCGAATTCTGATGTAAATTCTGTACATGTAAAAAGCATTGCGCATATTTTGTTACAATTTTGATGATTACTCGTATCAAGATACTGCAAGCAGTTTTAACAGGTTTTATATAATTTAGTCAGCAGAAGCTTCACGTCTTTAATTGAAAAGTGGTCCGCCAAACTCAGTAGCATCTTTTGTGCTCTCCGAAATTGAATTTACTGTCATAGCGTTTATCGCGATACGTTGACAAAACGCAAGGCAGCCATTTGGAAATTTAGCGCTACTGTTATATTTACCTTACACGAGGTGATTTTCATTGTAAGACTTTGAGTTTTCTTCCCCCGCAGCTGTGAAAGCGCTCGCCGTATTGATTCCACTTCATCTCCTCTAGAAGCCTAATCATATGGGCTCCTGTCGTTCAAAAATGGCTACGGATCAACAGGCTTCAGGTCCAAACACAGAGGAACAGAATGCGAACACGGCTCCAGGACCTCAAAAGAAGGTACAGAAAAAATAAAATTAGTAGAACGGCTATGCCGGTACACTCGATGGAATAGATTTAATGGTAAAAGATGATTGCTTCAGTCAATTATACAAGAGTAACCTAATTACTGACTCAAAAGTTCTTCTTCGAGGCTGGGTTGTTCGAATCCAACGCAAGAGAGGATTTTCTTTTGCCCAGGGTTTGTGTTTACTTGATTTGTAGAAGTATTCAAGAATTATTCAAAGAGAAAACAGTAATGAAGAAGTCCTCGATTTTATCTCGGCACTTGTGTCTTGCTGATGTCGAACCTATGGCGGCTTCGTTTTCATTACGCGTTACAAAATTTTTCTAAGCAGTTGTTGTGTTTGTCAGAACGAGCCAGTTGTTAAAGATTCTTGTTAATAAATTTGCTGTTTACTGTAGCGGTGTGGAAATGTGATCGATGAACTTAAGATTGAGGTCCGTAGATTAGGTTGCAGAGCGACTTAATCTCTTATCTGTTGAGGAAAAGGGAGATTTTTTTTTAATAGCTCAGTGCTTTAGGTGGTAGATTCTATCTTACGATTGGTGTCAACAGTGGAATTGATCTTTCCCGCGAAACTAGGCGAGCGGAATCATTTCGTTGAGTTCCTGAGTAATTTCTTAGTCAGTTATGATTCGGTAATCTTGCCTTTCCTTCTCCATGTAAGGTTATCAACAGGTCATATATTTTTTTAGTTGCTTTCGGTCCAATTCTCCTGTTCCGGTCATTTGGCCAAGAATAAATTGATATTACGTTGATTACGCCAATGGAATGTTTTAGTGTTTCTTATGGTGTGTATAGTTGTGTATAACCTCTACGTTAAAAATACCAACTCGACATATCGGTGAGAGTGATATGTTTAGATACCGTTTCCACCTCCATTAGCTATGGAATCAGCATTAAAAACACCTTGACATTTCTTTAGCATTATGGTGCAAAGATCGCAGTTGCAATTCATCGCTTTAACCGCGGGACCAATAATATTCGTGAACTGTTTAGGCAACCAGTTCTCCTTGTAAAAGATACTCCTACGTATACTGAAACAGTAATAATCGCCGCACTTTGTAATAAAATTGTCAGACTTGGGAGATCACTAGTGCTGTCACTATTGCAACAGCTTTTTTAGTACAAAGTGCGATGGTCTGCTATTACAAAATGCGACAGCTTTTGCTATTACAAAGTTCGACAGTAAATGTTAATCAATGTTCATACAACAAGGTCGAAAGCGGGTAAGGAAAACGATGCTTTGAGCGAGCCGGATTGGCGGAAAACCAACACCTTTCGAATTCGAGAAATTAACATGTCATTTCGCGTTGTTGAGATTTTCAGACCATGAAAATTGAATTATTCAGTGCGTCATTCATAAGTATTACCGGGTTCTTACTGCGCACTTTAAGGTAATCGTTTGTCTCACATGTCAACACATTTATAGGATGATCCGTCCTTGATCGATGCCTACGATGGTAATATTTATTTCGAGACAACTGACGATTTCTATATGGTATAGTTCTTTCTTAGTCTAAGAGGGCCAATTCAGTAGATTTAGCTAGTTAAACATATTGAAGTTTTGCAGTGACATTGGCTAAGATGTGTATGTGTAAGTTCGTCTAAGTTACAATCTACTGATAAGGCCCCGTGAAAACTGAAGCAACCGACCCAAACATCGTTAGTAAACTATAACTGAAAAATAAACTGAAAAAAAAAACTTTTTACCAAAACCAATAAATAGAACATACATGACAATAACTTCGTTATCTTTATTTAATCGTTTCTGGTTTCGTTTTATTTATTATAGATAAAATTCAAATATTTTCGTTACGGTAATTACTAGATTTCTCGTTATCTTTTCGGACACATGCACCAAGGCTTTTCATGTCTGTTTTCTCTCCATTAGTCCTGAACTCTTTCAAAATTCCTGCCGATGATTTTTTTGTAAGCTTCTGCAAGTGTCTACTTTCACATTAGGCGAAAGTCCTCGGCAAGCATCAGTCAAAGGACCTGTTGAATTGACAGAGATGTTATTTTTGTTAAGTGCGTGACGTCAAGTCACGTTATCGCAAGGTCTGTTTTCCTCAAAAAGTGTATCTTTTTCTTACTATTCCTGTGGCTGACTGTTCACAAATGTTTTTCTCAATTGAATAATCAATAGACATTTTAGCCAAAACACCGGTGTTTGTGAGTGCCTCTGTGGTGGACATTTAATTAAAACTGGGCACATTTAATAAGTTTACCACCATATTTGGTGTTAAAGATTGGACAGATTTTAAAATATATTCCATATAATTACTATCGCATCAGTTTCCTTCATCTAGTCAGACATCGCGAGGCATTCAGAGATCTGTTGCGAAATATCTGTCCAACAATGGCTTCAAATCCACAAAATAAGGTAGCAAAGTAACACTAACTTAAGTTTTGACATTTGTCTCACAAAAGAAAGCTACAAGTCGGTTTTTCGGGATCGGTTTGCCGCCTAAGTAACAGCTCAAGTCCTAATTTCCTCATCTAGTCGAATAGGGAAGTTTTTCACAAATCTAAAGCAATGGATTGTACCTGTTTCATATTTGGTCATTTTGCAATTGTTTTTGAAAAGTTAATATACGTTTATTTTATTCGAAATTTTAGTAAAACTCACCAACTTTTGGTTACAAATAGCGAGGGAGTTAATTTGTTTTGTTTTGTTATTAACTGAATGCAAATCTACGTTGTCACGACATTATTCAGGGAATGCCATGAAAAGCGTTCGATGCGGAATTGCTGGGTAGTTTACGTAGCCAAGTAATTATCTCTTCCTGCCCAAGGAATCCATTTATATAGCCTTGTGCCTTTCATGCCTCGCTATAGACCTCGGTGTCTCTTCGATTCAGTGGATAAAAATATGATTATGGCCTGACGTGATCGATCAATTTTGCATGGGTGCCTCCAGATTGAAAAATTTAGAAAATTTTTTAGCGATTTATTTTGCTAGTTCCTATCTTTTGAGGTCCTCATGAGTGGTAATCGGTACAACAAAATGTATTAGTTATTTTGGTAAACAGAGACGCTCGGTTTCATTTCTTATCATCTTTGTGATCACTAGAATCAGACTGTTTGAAGGTTCAATGATCCGTAACATATGGGGATCATGCGTATTTAAGTGTTTAAAAACTGTCTGCCTTAGCGATCGGAGTCATTGAATCAGAGCGGCAGGAGATGCCTCATCGAAAATATCTCAGCCCATTTTTTTTCACAGTCCACAATTATTACAGCAGAGAGTCCACATTTTTGCAGAATGCAACTTTCGTAGTGAAAATCACAAATATGGGAATTTGTGTATTTTGCTATTTAAATCTCTCTGATGGGTAACTACGCTACTCCACAATTCAAGCATAAACATAATTTTGTGGAATCCAGGAATACATTCGGCTTAAATATGTATCCCATGTCAACGTATGATTAAAAACGTCCTAAACAAGAAACAATGCAATCAAATCACTTTGAAATTATCTCCTGCTTCCCGTTGGGTGCATCCGTTCCTTAAAAATTGCAGAGCGAAATGTCTTAATGCATGTTGCATTAGCAATTAATTATAAATATTCTTAAAAGATACAATATATTGTTTTACAGGATGGCAGTCAAACTATCGTCCAAGATAAGACCATGAAACTGGGAGACGACATTAACCTGGCTGAACAAAATGATGTCAAGCTTGATCCAAATCTCGAAAAAAACGAATATCCTGATTTATCTGGAGCGCACTCACTGATGGCTAAATACCTCACGAGGGAGATTTTCGAGAAGCTGAAGGACAAAAAGACTTCCACTGGTTTTACCATCGCTCGAGCTGTGAACACCGGAGTGTTAAACAAGGAGAAGTCATTGACTGGTTGCCATGCCGGAGATGTTGATTCTTACACCATATTTGGAGAGTTCTTCGATCCCCTCATTGAGGAGTATCACCGCGGGTTCAAGCCTTCCGACAATCACGTGACTGATATGGACCACACTCATCTGAAAGGCAACATCACCGACCCATCCAAGATCATATCCACAAGAATCAGGGTGGCAAGAAATATTTCTGGCTTCAATCTGGCTCCTGGACAGAATTCCAAAGAGGAAAAGCTGCAAATAGAAGCTTTGATGCTGCAAGTGTTTGCCGAGCTGAAAGATGATTTGGCCGGGCATTATTACTCACTGGTCAAAATTAGCGAGGAGGAGAGACAGGAACTTGTCAGGGAGCACTTGTTATTCAAGGGCAATGACAAGATGCAAGCTGACAGCGGATACCATCGATGGTGGCCACATGGACGTGGAATCTACCTGAATCATAAGAAGACCTTCGCTGTGTGGCTGAATGAGGGGGACCATATCCGTGTCATTTCCATTCAGCAAGGTGGTGACGTGTCCTCTGTATTTACAACACTAGTCAAAGGGGTAAATACAATCGAGAATCTCCTTATGAAGTTAGACAACAGGAGCTTTCAAACAACAGATCACCTTGGCATGATCACATGCTGCCCAACAAATCTCGGAACTGGTCTGAGAGGCGGAGTGTTAATTCAACTACAGAAAGTTGTGGAGAAGATGGGTGAAGAGGGCCTGAAGAAATGGTCTCATGAAAACCATCTTCAGGTGAGAGGTCTGTACGGAGAGCACTCCGACACCACAAGTGCTATCTATGACATCTCCAACAAGTACAGGCTTGGCTACTCAGAGGTCCAGCTCGTTCAGTTTGTGATTGATGGTGTCAACCAGCTGATAGAAATGGAATATCAGTAAGCTGTGAACTTGTCCTCCTTTCAACTACTTTGATTAAGTTTATTAAGAGTGTGGTGCTAGCAAAATGAACCAGAACTGTTAGGAGAGATTTGTTTCACTAGAGTGTTAGAAAACCATTTGTTGTTTTCCTAAGAATTATAAGGCTGACAAGAACGGAGTTTTGGATCAATTCATAATTTTGTCATTGCAAGGTTCCATGATGTTTCTGAGATATTTGTAGGCCCTTGGGCTTTCCAACAATTGTCCTGATTTTCATTCTGGTGCCTTGGTAATTGTGTGGTATTAGGTCAGGCCAACGTGTGTATACTGTGTGTTACGTTACTTATGTCAGTCATTTGATGTAGGGTAAACAATCGCGTGTTACTAAAATAAATGCGTAATCTTGCAATTTTCACTGCACGACCATTTAGTCCGCCACTCGTGAACACGTAGAAGAAAGTAAAATATGAAATAGCCGCCAACAACTTCACAATTTATCGGTTCATCGGTAAAATCGAGAGAGACCTTGGACCTTTCGGTTTTTCCGTGTAAATTTTGTCTCCCAACTCCCCTAGGGGAGGGTAAGACTTTTGCCCATGTGTATATTTGATAGAGTACAACGTTTGTGGCCTTTTCATCGTATTTATGAACCAGTCTTAAGATCGCAAAATGACTCAAAGAGCCTCACTTATATAGAAAATTGATTCGGAATGGTTTCTGCTTTGGCAAGGATATATTTCCCTGTCTCCCCTTCAAAGGTACTAGTCACTACCCTAAACCTCTCTGATCCCGAAAAGGGACACACGCGCGTGAGGAAAGAAAAGTACGGGTTGAGAACAGGTCGGGATCGACATGTTTTCAATTGGCTTATGCTAAGCTGCAGCGTATGCTAGTTTGCTCAGTCAGCTGAAAAGTTTTCGTTATATGCTATAACGAGATTATAGGTAATGAGTTAAAGACGTGAGTAGACAAAACTAACCTCTTAGTCGGCGACTAACGACCTTTGGAAGAGCCAAGTCATATGGACAATAAGTAAGTCGAGAAACAGGTGAACTTTGACGTTGATTGAAGAAGCTTTAATGTTCGGTGTCGATTGTTGTTTGGTAAAATACGTGTGATTTCGCTAATGTTATTGTCATTTAAAATAGGTTAGAGTGAAAACAAAACATTCCTTAACTGTTTTCTTAGGCTGCAAATTAATGTACACAATTAAGTTTTACGAGGCAGTTACCTAAAATATCTTGTTGAAGCTTTTTTTTTTCACTGAACTCCTGGATTTCTCCAAAGTAAAACACTAAATTTGACAACCAAATTGAGACTTCGATTCACACGATGTTACCATCAGGCTTTAAAAGTCTTAGAAATAACATGGTACAATCTTGAAGATATATCGTTTTAGTTTACTTATCAAACAATTAAAATAAACAAATTAAACAGTAGAACAGACATTGAAGTAAAGAAGACTGACGTACACAAAAACTATAACTTTGGCAGGAGCACTCTCAAATTCTTTAGAAATTCCTTGCAGTGTTTCTGTTCTCAGCTCAGGTGTAACGAGGAACTGCATCATTGCAGGTCAGTAAAGGTCTTAAAACCTTCTGTGAATTTAAAGGCGAATCGTAAACCATGGTTGGTATAAAATCTGAAGCTCAGGTATCCGCAGCGTCGAGAATTTAACTTATAAACAATAATCCCGGATAGCTTTGTGCTTTGTGGTTTTAAACTCTTCATCAAAACACCAGCATTTTTCACTCTCGTCAGAGGTTAATGCGAAAACCAGACGTTTTTAATACAATTTGTTTTGTGAGCTTTGCCCATTTTTGTTCATTTTCTAACCGTCTTTTTCCAATTAATGAAATGATTTATTCTAAGCTGCATTCTTAATTACCATCCTCATAATTAAGCTGACAAACTTTGTACCTTGTGAAATTCCGCGCGGCTAAAACGAGATAGCTTCAGTTTATAAATCAATTCAGGCCGGGATGTGTTGACGAGACATTTTTTCCTGGTGGGACATCAAAACATTACTCGACATAAGATATTTCATCATGCAGCTGATAAGTGATTATGGTTATCCTCTAAGGTTTTGTGGTTGAAGTCCTCAACAAATCCTTGACAAACTCTCGAAGACATCGCGCTTACGAAGAAGCAGTACATTTGAGGTAAGCTGTGTAAACATATCCTGGCAGAGGAAGGAACTTATTGTTGAAAACCCAAGGAGAGTAACATTTATTGAGTTAAAGGTCATTCATGTCTCGAAGATTGACTAACTTCTTGGGGGTAATGCGCCTCAAGCGCTGTTGGCGAAGGACTGCGCAGATCCACTGTTTATCTCAGTTAGGTTTCTAAATTGCCCTCAGCATCGGTGGAAATTCAACAACAGGGCAGTTTGAAACTTTTTAAAGAGTTCTGTAGTTCTTAAGCTAATGACATATCGGAAAAAAACACTTGCATCGTTTCCTGAAGCTTCGGTACTAAATAATCACTGATCAACACAGGATGTGCAATAACTGATTGTAGCAGTTTCTTGCCACAACTTTTTGAAGTGATCTCGGTAAAAGCTGATTCTGCTCGCATAAGTATACAACTAAAGATGGTGAATGCAAATATCAAAATTTAACCGAGTTTACTGTCGCTCGACTATTGATTTGATAGAAAGCTTTGGAGTTGATAAGTAAGAGTGAAAATGCTTGTGGCCATCAAGAAGCTGCGGGCTCTTGCCAAAGGAGCCGAAACTGTTCGATGACAGTCGAAAATTTGCAATACAGGCCGGGCCTAGCTGGTGTGTTTTTCTGTCGTCTATTCTTAACTATCCTTGTTCAGTTCTCTTTAGAATTTCTTACATCGGAGACGAAAATTTTATTCAGATGTTTCCTTTATTTGAAGTTACTTTTGATTTCCACTTGCAAAAAGTGATTCAAAACAACACTTTTGAGGTCCTGTTTGGTGTCATGACATTGTACACTGTTGTACCTCACTGGCGACCGTTACGATTAAGGTTGCTGTTCAAATAAGGTAATCAGTCAAACTCTTGTTCATTTTAGCAACATGCGTAACAAAAAATGAAATGAATGCGATAAGTTTCAGCATAATTTGATTTGAGTCTATCTCTGTTATGATCTGAAATCTGTCGAAACAGAATTACTATCGATCGGATTTAGAACGGTTCACTTGAATATCACGTCAAAAGTTCTCTGAGTCTAATTTTCACGTAAAAATCTTTGGACGTGAGAAATTTCAAAAGACAAACATTTTTGCTCAATTGTACGTGCACATTCTTTTCGTTTTATGCGTTACAAAACATACATCGCGTTTCAAAATCTGAAGTATAACAGTTCTGTGACGTGTGCTAGTCACGTATATACTTTCTCCTGAATGTTTTTCTTGGCGTGACCCTATCTTGCAGTTGTAAAACATTGTTCGCCTTTAATCTGTTCATCAAATCACATTTTTCACGAACAGTTTTATCCTTAAGTCAAATTAATTTCATTAATTAGATCTAAGATTATGCTCCAGCCTTTAGTCGGAAGGCAGAAGAGCATTTTCTCGCTAAATTTCGTTGGCATACAACGTTTCAGTCGCCATCTTGGATTGAGTTTGGCGTCAGGCAAATCCAAGAATAAAAACACAAAAACAACTCTTTGTAAAAGGGTTGGGTGGCATCATCATAATTTTGCACCCTCCATTTGTGATGCGCTATTCTTTCTTCCTCTAAAATTGAAAAAATCCTTCGCATTGTCCAACAAAAAATGAAAGGACTGAAGCACTTGTCATAGTTTAAAATTGTATTGCTCCTAAATACAGTACACCAATAAAACCTTTGTAGACTCCCAGCATTCCAACCTTTTCGACGAAGTCCGTTGCGCGAAACAAGAAAGATCAGTGAAACAAAAGATTGGCTATATTGCACTTTGCTCCCAGAGTTTCTCGTGGCGCGCAAACATCCTTTTTTTTTCCACTATTTTCTTTTTCACTCGCGTGTTGGCCTTCGCCGAAAAAACATCCAAATCAATCTTTTTTTTTCCACAAAAACGCAAGAAAAATTTTCTTAATTTCTTGTCAGGGAACACGCATTTGAAATAGGTCAAAGACTTGCGAAAGAAATGATCACATTCAATCAAACTTTGAAGATGGAGTTTTTTAGGAAACATCGACTGAAAAAAACTGCTGTTGAGAAAAGTTGTCCAATAAGTAAAATCGTTTAGCAAACAAGAATCAAATGTTTCAGAATCTCGTTAGTTTTTCAATATTTTAAACAGAGTACTCCAACAATTCTGATGAGATATTGTCAACAATTCGTCGCACACTCGTTGAAGTAATGTGAGCTCATTGTCTGATTGAAAAAAAAGAAAAAACCTGGAACCACTTTTGTCAGCGTGAAACTGTTCGAGACAATACTTAATCGAAGGCCGGATGGGTCTAATTTTCCGGTTTTGCAGACATAGTTTAGTTTGTCTAAGTTTTACAATCAAATGGATGATCAATTAAGCAATCTTTTTTTTCAAAAACACAACAATTGCAGAGAAGAATTCTCTAGGGTCGAATCGATTCAATTAGCTTCAGAGGCCATTGTAAATATAATCGAAAACAATGTCACAGAAGCCTATTAATAGATGTCAACAATACACTCTGATTTCTAGTGCATCCTATCACCAAGAGGAAGAGGGCTACGGGAGAAAGTTTATGCCCATAATATCTACAACAGCGATGTTATTCTATCACACAAATACTTCTTTAATTTTCCTCTTTTTTGTAAACGCAAGAATCGTGAAAAAGTGAAATACAGCAAATTATTTCATGATCAGTTACCGCCACGGTTTTACTACTATCTTTTATTTAAAAATGACTAAAGAAAAAAACTTATGAAAAAAATAATGATATTAAGGATTTGAAAGCCCGTGCAATATTCATGGCTCTGATTTCAGCCTTGATTAGGTACCAGCAGGGAGAAATATTCTTGCGGTAATTATGGTCAGAACTACCGGTATAACACTTTTAAAATCACTATTTTCACAACGTAGGATTGAGCTCTCAAGAAAAGGTTTTTATTCGAATGGTAAAAGGAAAACCATAACAAAATTCCGTTTATACCCCGATAAATTGATTTGATTTTCATTTTACAAGGACGCCCTTGGAATTGTCAGCTGAGTACAAAATTGCCATGCAGTAAAGCGGTCGATTTGATTTTCACGTCAACAATAGTATTGATCTTCCGATGAAGATAATCAAGACCGATTTAAAAGTGCTTTTTGCATGAAAAATTGCTTCGAACGTGACAAACATGTTTAATTATTGCTTGACTGGCTCCACTTGCCTCTAAGCAAAATTTTACAAACAGGTAATTTGTACTTTTTTGTCTAGAGCGAAATGAAACTAAGACCAATAAACTAACGAAGAAAAGTAAAACAAATATTTAATTCACTTTGAATGGAAGTATCTGTCAATATTTTTATACATTTTCAGCCACAAATCAAATTCATCTGTCAACAAAGAAGAAATTGTAGAATTATAATTCATTTCAAGCTGCCACGCGGTAGCAAAAATAGCGCGGCGAACAAGTTGAAGTTTTTCATAAGCTTGGTTTGATTACCTGTAATGGCTCGAAGGAAATTGCTGTCATGAAAAGTGACCAGAGCAGATAAAAATGCTAAAAATTTCTTCTGCCGAAGTAA